ATCGCCATGACGGGCAACATCCAGGACAACGACTTGGTCAACTACCTCCGCAACGGCATGTCCGACATCCTCGCGAAGCCGTTCACCAAGGACGACTTGTACCTGATTTTGAGCAAGCACCTCCTCGGGCCGAAGCTGGAGTTCCTTGACCTGCCGCCGGTGCCCGACTTTGCCGGCCTTACCCCGAAGGGGCCTCTGCAAGTGGCCATGCCGCAGGCCATCCCCAACATCACGCCCACGCCGCCGTTGGGCCAGGGCATCATTGACCCCATGGACACCTTGGAGCCCTCGGCGAAAAAGCCGCGCATGCACTGAGCGGTCTACACGCTGGACTTCCTACTACACGAAAATTGTACTATTATTTCTTTTCCTTGGGCACCACCACGTTGAGCGCCAAGTCGCTGAACGAGTCCCTCCACGGCGCCCCCGCGTCCGCCTTGATGCGGCTGATGTGCACATCGCGGAAGTACTTCCCCGGGACGTCGTACTCCAACTCGGGCTCTACGTAGACGTTTTTGCGTGGCCGGCTTCGTCTTTTTCTCGACACCACGCGCACGAAGCCGTCTTCTTGCGCAGGTTCGGCAAGCTTTTGCGCAGTGTTCTGGTCAAACAAATGCACGAGGGTCGCGAGGGTTGGGCATTCTTGGAGGAACCTGGCCTTGGTGAGCGTGCCCATCGTCACGGAAAAGTCGTTGGCCAAGAGCCAGCGAGGCCTGTGCTGCGCCAAAACGGACTCTGTGAGCGTGCGAGGCGCATGAGGCATATAATATAGCGTGCTGCCGGTGGTCTCAGGGCCCGGACAGTACTCTTCTGGCGCCTCCACAACATACCCTAGTGCATTGGCCAAGAACTGTGTGTCCTCGGCCAGGAAAGCAGGATCATAGCATGAGATGTTTTTTGCTTCTATGTTGCAACTGGACGCGAGCAGCTTCAAGTAAGCCAATTGATAAAGGGCCTGGAACTCTTGTGTGGGCGAGCCCAAGGCCAAACACCGGATCATGGTGAACTTTAGTGGCCGGAGGAGCGTAACTGTGTGGGTATATAGATCGGACTGCGCCACGCATTGCTCGTGCTTCTGCAACTTGGCAGCGAGGCTTTCAAAGCGAGTGGATTCCATGTCAAAGCCGGACGATGGAATGTGTTTTGTTGTCCACTATATTCGGGTTCGTTTCCGGAACGAGACTGATGCCTTGGTCACGTGCGCCGACGGCCGCGATGACGAGATGCCCGCCGCTCCTTCTGCCTGGACGACGAGATGCCCGCCGCTCCTTCTGCCTGGACTTGGGGTCCTTTACGGTTATGGGTTTATTCGAAAATACACTACTGCGTCAAAGCGTGACTATACCTGATTTTATGACTCTGCCCTCCTGCGCTATCAAATCGCTTATTTCAATATCACTTATTTCAGTGTATGCGTTGGCTCGCTTAGCTGAGCAGAGTAGATACCCGTTAGCTCCATGAAGACACATGGATATTAGACATCTTATGAACAGTTGTTGTGTGAGCAGCCGGTTTTTCTGTTGTGTTCTGTTCTTGTTGCTGTCTTGAATTTTGGCATGACAGTGATCAATATTCTCAAGCCTTATAAGTAATTAGCGATATTGACTTTCCCACATCCAACTACAATCAAGTCTAGTGATTAAAATTGAATACTGTTTCCAGGTAGTTTAAAGTGAAACTTGAGAGACAGAAAATACCCAATGCCAGTTCAAACAGCGCAAGATGGACTTTCCCTTTTTTGTGCATGTCGCTTTTTTTGCAATATTGTGAAGAATACGCGGGAAAGTAAAGTATACGTGTTCTTAACATGTTTTATCAGGACCTCTTTTTTTGATTGCCAGTTCATTGCACAAGAAACTCGAAATTACGAGGATATTGCAATGCATCACAAAATCCATATTTCTGGCGTTGCAGAGAATATCACAGATTTCATAGCCGGAACATCAATATAATTAATCGAGAATCAGATTGGTACTCAGAGTACGGTACATGAGGATGTTCTGATATTTCTTGTCTGTTATCAGTGGCGTTTGCCTCTTTTTGTTTATTGCCCAATTTTGCTCGTCATTATGGAAAGTAGTGATTATTTGTGGCACAATACTGCATCAGTTGCAATGAAAAGGAACAATGAGGTCCTAAGAATATTTGAGCCCTTATCAATGAATTTTCGCATACAACGAGCACTACACATTGAAGTGGACAGTTCATAAAGAAACGACTGATTAAGATTTACCATGGATTTGACGGGCGATTTTTGAGTAATTTCTTATCATAATGTAAATTTACTTGCTTCTTACTCGGGTATTTTGGCGTAGTCTTCATAGACACAATCCGCCACGAGCCAGTGCCAAGAACTGATTTGGAGAATAAACATTCCAGAGAAAAACAGCAGTATCTCTTGAAGACTTTCCTCTGAGTTGAAAATATAAAATATCTATCTCATATTATGAGTGAAATATCAGGTCTCTCTTATAACTATAGCGTAGCGGTATTAATCAGACTCAACAGGGAATATATACCAACTGTAGGTGAATATAATAATCTAAGGATAATTATATCGTATAAATTATAAACTAAAAAATATATAATTTTGTTTATTTGTTTTCTTAAATTCTATCTTTATTTTCAATACCATCATAAGTATTATAAATAAGATTTGGTAAAGCATAAGTAGGATTATGAGAATTAATATCTCAATATCTTATATTTTAATAGAATTTATTAAATTAATTAACCCTTTTATTTATGGATGAGGTAATTATTTCATTCCTTCTCCTAATCAATAAGCATTAAGAAAGAATATGGATAATTACGTTTATTGTAGAGTCATGAAATGAATATACAGGAAATTTAAATCTAATTATGCTATTATATGTAGAAATTTATTACTCAAACAAATTAATGGTATCAATAAGTGAAGTACTATGACAGTTACGTCCTCCAATAAAACATTATCTATTAAAAGAATTACCGATATTATGATAAATGTTACACATTTTATGTTGAAATCATCTGATTCATTGAAAAATAATAGTATGTCCACTTTCACAGAACCTTTTCTTAAAAGAGCTATGTTAATTAATACATATAAAGGTGATACTAGATCTCTATTAATTTCTAAGCAAATTAATACTTGTCCTATTTGTAATGATCAACTTATAGATTTTGATACCCTTAATCTTTCTATTAAAGGTGACGATTCTATTTATATTATTTTCGGAGATTTTTTTTTCAATAATTTTCAAATTTCCCACAGACTTAATGTAGAAATTTATTCACTTTGAGAATTATCCCTCATACAAAGTTCACTTTCTCAGCAGGGAAGCTGTGTATATATTGCGGTGACTGCCTCGATCGGCTCCATTATGTGCCTATTTGCAGAAACGGACCAGAGTAAGCCTGCGGTATTGATGGGCTAAGATTGATGCAATAAATTGAAGACAAATCAGGCCAGTCTAGAGCCATGAAGATTAAAAATCAGATAATTTTATATAAGCTCTTTGGCTCACAGGATTGCTATCATAGCTTGACAAGCCAGTATGATTTTCAGTTGTCATCATACCAGCAACCCATCTCTTTGACAGAATGCCATCTAGTTACAATGTATCTGGTGTTGGACTATCCTAGAGAACTTAACAAAGTACTTGATTTTCAACGGATCGAACGCGTTGGGTCCATCATGCTCAAAAACTATACCAGACTAGGAAGAAAGTTATGTTGCGGTGTATCAGGTGGTATTTATGGAAATAATCACTTTTCATTCTAATTTTTTAGTGGTCTAATGAAAACGAGAGTTGGGCAGACAATCTCAAATATTCGTATCAAAGGCAATGTTATCATGTTCCAATCAGATCTACATCTTATAGAGTGGAACTGACTGTGAACATAAATTCAAAATGCAAGCTTTCCAGAACGATGCGTTTTCCAGTCACGTATGTATACTAGCTTTGATTATCTAACACAATGTGTTCTTTTTTGACTTCTCTATCATCTACAAATTTTTGCAGCTAACCCGGTGCTCTATATTGACGGAAGTATGAGAATACTCTTGTCTTCCGAGGCAACGCTTCAGGTTGGCTTTACCAGACTTTCATCTGCCACGAGCGATACTGCTAACTTTAAATCTTTTGTATTACTTTTGGAAACATCAAATAGCATGATAAGACATTGAACGCGGAAGGTTCTGAGCATTAAAGTGGGTTTCTTGTCGTGGTCTTTTGTGTTGGGAGTAGTTCTGAAGTGTATTGATATCTTAATCCGGCTTTTTTGAATTTGCCTTGAGTACTGTTCTATACATCCTCCACGAAACAATATTGGAGTAATTGTCTGATATCGATATTACTCTGGACAAGTTAAGGAAAACTTTTCCCACTGAAATTATTTGATTTCATGGCATGTGTTGAGAAGTCCCAAGATTATGAATCATATCTTTGAAACATTATAATTATTTATTGGTGATGGCCTTTCGTACAATTCATAGCCTAAGCGCTGCCAGTGAATGCAACGAGACAGGGTAATGAACAGTAATTTGATTTACTGTATCTACCCTGAAGTTTGCAATTTGTTGAAATTTGTGTTTTTTGTCTCGTGCTTCAAAATCCATGGCAAAACATGTAAGATATACTCTCTTCATTAACTCCGTCGAATACCTCACCTGCCGATTCACGTTCAATGTTTCTGAACTTAACGATTGAATCATATGGCTGATACAATTAATTCTTTTAGGGAGGTAAACTGCTCAGATATGGAAATTTTGACCTTTTCAGATTTTGAACAAGTCGCAGGCCGGTCATAGTAGTATGCCCGTGCAGTAATTAATACGCATCAACGGTAGCGCAGAGAGGTGGAGCAGATCACAACCAGAACAACAGGTTCCGCCAGTCGCTTTTTTTATATTGTCCTGGAAATTGGGGATTTGACTCTAAGAGAAAATGGCGAAGGCATGATCTGAAATGGCTCCGGTTTGCTGACAAAGTGACACTACGGCACCGCAGCAAGCAGAACACGGGCAGTAAAATGAACTACAGAATACAGACCGTAAAAGCGAAACGCCGGCCAATAAAACAACAACTAGCTTAGGAAGTCGACGTCCAACCAAATGAAAGAACAAAAAACAAAAAACAAAAAACAAAAACAAAAACAAAAACACGAACATAAAAGCCCCGCAGGTTTTGGTCCAGATATCGACAAGTATCAGCGACACAGTTCCCCGGGCCTTGCCGGCATGGTGACTCCAGCTGACTGCCACAGTGGCACGGCTACGTATAGTGCGCTTTATTAGCACGCCCCAATAGGCACAGCAAAAGGCGCCGTTTTCGACATCCAGCACGTGCAGCCGGATCTGACCGCTCATGCCACGCCAGAGACAAAACACAGCGAAAGCTCAAATCAATAAATCCTTGCATTTCCCGAACCACGCCACTTCGTGTGCCGAGGGCCCCGGCGGCACACCCGTACCTCCGGGCGCTACCGCCCGCTGCCCGCGAGGCGACCCAGACATTTTGTACGTACTACTTTTCTTTCTGGTAGACTGGGCAACGCGCGACCGCGGGCGCACCGAAAAAACAAAAAGCCAAAAAGTCCAGTAAAGTAAAAAAAGTAAAAAAAATAAAAAAAAAATAATAAAAAAAA